CTTCATTCATTCAACTATTAAACCTCTCTTCTCTAGCAACTACCAGGTAGGTATAGAGAAGAATATCTCAGAGCCTCTGCCTTAAGGCACTCGAGAGTGTAGTGAAGGAGGTGGCTGCATAAACAAGTGATTACAATACAATTTGATACATGCTATAATAAAAGTATGAACAAAGCCCTGTGGAATACAGGAGTGCCTGGGAATTCAGGGAAGGCCTCTAGAAGGTAAAGGTATCGTCTGGCCGTGAACCTTTCTCTGAATTTAATGAGCTGCTCTTCTCCACTCACACTCTCCTCCAAACTGACAATTTCACCCTCACAAAGAATCCTTCATAAGTCACAGAAAATGTTTTCATCATTTGTACTGAGAGACTTCAAGGCAAATCCATAAATCATTTCTAATTGACCCCAGATTGCATTAGTTGGAGGATTTTTCCTTGTTTGTTTTTAAAAAGCAAATCAGCTTTCTTAATCACTATTTATTTAGACCAATACAGAAACCAATTCATACTCCTGGGGAAAATCTGCCTAAAATTTTTAAGTTATCAGGACAAAGATAATCACTTACACGTATGCAGACAAAGATAATCACTTACACGTATGCACGCAAAGCAAAACTGGTATTAAAAAAAAAGCATTGGTACTTTTGCCTAACTACACTAAATCAACAAGTGGGTTTTTTCCTAATCACTGCTAGTTAAACTGACAAAATACATTCTCGACTCAACCAGAAAAAATTTACAAATTTTTAAACAACTCCCCAAAAAGACTTCAAAAATAAATCTTGAGGCAAGTACAAAGATGGTAATTATCAAATACAGAATACACAGAAGGGAAAATTAGAATTTTTTATCCTAAAAGATCCAAATTTCTGCCCAGATCTGCATAACTAGCTCATCTCATGACAACGGACAAGATTACCAGCAGGACTCTTCAATACACAATTATCAGCAACTAACCTACACTGAGGGCAGCACCTGGAACGTCTGTTCAGTGTTGCAGTGCTGTCCCACACTGCAAAATATGTATACAGCACTTTCACACTGCATTTCTTTGTCTCCATTTTTACAAAACCATATGATAGTAGGTAGACATTAAATCTTCATCAGATAGAACAATGCAAATCAGAAGAGTGCCTATGTGGTTCTAAGTTCTTTTTCTTTGAATATATTCACTTACTATAAAAATCAGAATTTACGATGCAGTTTTCTTAAGTACTTCTGGGACTTTAAACATTACATTCCCTGATATACCTCCAAAAAGAGAGAACAGGGTTTCTTATATCTGGGACTCGAATCCTATCTGTTCCTAACTTCAGAGACTGGGAAAAGAAAATACACCTGAAATACTTTCATTGTCTTGCAAACAAAATTACCAATAAACTAGTGAGGATTCCACACTTGTTCTACATTTTATGCCTACATGTAAAATAGTTGCTAATGCTCATGAATGAAGAGTAATTGGAAAATAAACTCCAAAACCCTTAGAAGTATAGGTTATATTCAACTGTATCAGCATTACTGTTTTTCAAAGATTTTCAAAAATTTGTCTTATGTAACATTAAAACGCCAAAAAAATTAAACTCATGACCTTGAAACCTGGGAAGTAAACCTTGCAGCAAAGTATTTTTAAATACCAAAGACAGATTTTTATTTCCAAATCAATTTAACTTTTACAGATCCTGTGTGATAAACAAAGGAAGTTTAGCTTAAATGTGGACAGCACACATTCAATTCCTTAAGCAACAAACATCTCTGCATCCAGCATTTTTCTGACTCACCAAGGCTATTGTTCACGAAAAACAAGACCAATTAATAAAAAATTGCTAATCATACCAACTGAATACACGTTTCTCATAAGTATTTTATTTTGATCAACTATTTCTACCATCTCATCTTCATCCAACCCCTAGGGACTTGGGGAAGAGTCGCTGACTAAATGACAGTTGATTTCGTTAGCACCTGTCGCCATTCTCAGATGTATCAAGTTGGCCAAAACAGCTTGTAATTTTTTTTAAAGATTACGATTCTCTTTAGAAAGTGGCAACTCACAAGGCGTGAGTTCACCAAGTTTTCCAAAATATCGTGCTTCTCGATTCCTCCCGTTTTCAAAACCTGACCCTGTGGCACAGACTTGTCGGTGGTTGGAGGAGGGTACACAATGACGCGGGAACTCGACGGAAAGCCCTCCCAACGAACAAAACCGAGACGGGAGAGCACAGCTCGACCCTCCCCTCAAACTTAACGTGCAGACAGAGGCAGCCCGGGACGGCTTCGTCCGCGCGGCCGGGGACCCCGGGGTTTGGGGCTGCG